GTAGTCCGACGTAATCATTGCGTACAACCCCATAGGGCTGTCCCTTATAGTTTTTTGGTTTTACCAGCTTACAGTGAAAATTATCAGATTTATCCTACCGTTTGTTTGTTCTCGCCACCTTTAATCCATAGGTCAGCATTTATTCTAATTGAACCAATTGTGCCAGGCACTCCCCTGTTACTTCTCAAGTCGGATTTGCACATGGATACGTAGCATTATTTACCGTAACGCCTGCCTTAATGTTTATAATTTTGAGATCAATTGTAAGAAGGTCAGATAAATACAATGTGGTTATGAACAGAAATTCATTATATCACCGGTTACAACGACTTCCACAGCCTGAAGCTGTAGATGTGTCCAGGCATGTTTCAGACAAGAATAATCAATTGCCGCACTCCTGATTTAAAGACAGTTAATGGCTAAGGTACGGCCAGGGTAGACGCGACACGCGACGCGACTCACGCAAGGAATAATAGTAAATAATAAGATTCTTTTGAATTGGTCGCGTCGCGTCGTGAATCGCATCTACCCTGGCCGTACCCTAAGATGTTTCATCAATATTTTGCGTATTTTGCATGATCTTTGGCATCCATATATGCCAAAATTTTGTTTGAAGAGCTCGCGTTCGAAACAGAAAGCTATTAGATTAGAACAGTGGCTCTCAAACTTACGTTGATTGCGACTCACTTTGAGAAATTTCATAATCTCGTGACCCATCAATATTGTTACAGTTAAAATTATAGTTAAGTTACGTGAAAATCCAGGATTCTAGAATCACCTAAATGACTCTTAAAACGCCTGTGGTTGTGGGTAGTCGCGGGTAGTTGACATCTACTTAGCCCCTGACCAAAAAGAAAAACATTTTTTTTATATTTTCATCTGGAAAAGTGCAAACAAATTTAGATTACGATAAGCTATGTCAAATTTTACTTGGAAAACCGCAAAAGGATTAGGATCTCGATAGGCGATGTTCAATTTTACTTGGTGAATTGCAATCAATTTTTTCTTGTAATGCGTTTTACTTGGAACATTGCAATTGAATTTGGATTACGAGAAACGAAGTTGAATTTTACTTGGAAAAGCCACCATCTGGTTTAAAACTTTTAAATGTTAAAAAATATGTCCACCTTGAAAAGCACAACACCCAGCAATTCGACAAAATATCACTTTTAATGCCATGAACTCACCATACTATATAAACATTAAGCTTTATTATTTTTTATTTTTAAGATACTTTATAATTAATTCTAAATTTGGGCCGCTATAAGCATTTACACATAGGTGTAAATTTCAACTCAGGTTTGATTCCATATAATAATAAAAAAATGAATTTCTGCGTCCCACTGATGGGCAGTTCGTGACCCATAGATTGAGAAACGCTGGATTGGAATGATTAACAGACAATTATCATACAATTACCCACGAAAAGATATCAACTTCCACAAGTTATTCCATATTTTAAGATAAATCCGATTATTTTCACTGTAATCTGGTTAAAATTTGGCTGTCAACAGGGTTCGATTATTGGGTTTAGGCTGTTGTGATTTTTTCATGTACTGAACACGCACTTTTCCACGATTCTCCTCGTGACTAGGCATTATGATTGATTTTAAATTTTCAATTGAAACTTACGCCTACTATGATGATACAAAATCTTGATTATTATTATAATTCTATCTGTAAATCTCAGAGTACCTGTAGATTTGAAGATTTCATTCCAAATCACTGGAATCAATCTTGACCTCATCATCCGACTAAGAACGGTCTTGGAAGCTATTTTATCCGGAGAATCCTTTGAAGAGGAAATCGGATCTACAGTTTCTACAATATCATCCTAAACGACAAATACGAGTAGGTACACACTCGCTTAACGGTAGATTGGGTTACAGTGGTCGACCAGGGTGTGTGCTGATAAATTACAAAATTACAATTACATAATTATTTCATACATCAGATTGAATTACCTTGATGGATATTACATTTTTTTTTGCTGTGCACTACACCAGCCAGCAAAGTTCAACAATCCATCGTTGCTTATGCCTTTGTTGTCGTTTGGAACCAGTTTTGCGAGGTAGGCGACGATTGTGCATAATTCTCGGGTAACTTTTGAAAAGGGCCTATTTATAGCCTGAACAATACGTAAAGAGCAAATTGAAACATTGAACGTCGCGTGAAAGTGGAACTTAATGAAGGCCTAAGTACTTTTTCGTAGTTTTTAGTTTTCGGATTTGAAAGATCGTCGGTTACAGTGGCCTGCTTACTGAGCAGAAAAACGTGGTCCCAGGTCCTTACATATCAAAGAGATTTATGGTAAAATCGCTTGTGTATCGTGTATTTTGCGAAACTCGTTGTTGTCGTTGGTTCCGGGTTTGAATGGATACAAAAATTTGAGCAACGGTATTATGTGATATGAGGGGCTCGGTGGCCTTAGAGCAACCGTTTTTGCTTACTGAGCAGAACATCATGAGTCTAATCTCAGGCCCATCCACATTCAAGATTCGTCAATCGTTTTATTTGTTAATATGACTACATGGTAATAACAGCAACTCGGTGATTAAAAAGGTGCTCGTCTGCCTAGTGGCAAACGTTTTTGCTTACTGAGCAGAAGACCGTTGGTTTAGTCCCAAGCTCCTTCGCGTTATATGATCGTTAGGACATCAATTCAGCTTATCGTTTACCCAGTGATTCCTCGTGGAAGTGCAGAGGTGTTCTCGGCTTCCATCAAAGCGAGTGTCACGTCAACACAATCCTTCCCATTCCTTTCTTGACCTGTGTTCGGGCGCGGCCGGCGCTGGTATTGCCTAATTTAAGATCACCAGTTTTTACACATTGAGGATGATTGCTAGTCCCAAGCATCGTCTATTGGTTTTCTGTGTAATTACAGCTGATCTGGCAATAACAGAGTAGCAACCGTGGAGGGTCAATCAAGCTCAAGCTCAATCAAGCTATCCACCTAAACGACAAATACGTATTATTTTTTTTACAAAAAAAGCAAGGCAAATTCCGAGGATTGCTCATTCCATCTGACCCAAATGTCTCAAGCAATCGTCAAGGGCAATCCAAACAGCAGCTAAATCTAAGGAAGTTCAATACTTGCTAAACGACGAAGATGGTAATGACAGTGACAACGATGAAGATAATGAGCAGATAGTGGCCCATATTTTAAATCTAAAGCTTCAACTTCAACTTCAGAGAAAATTTCATAAGCTCTTTCCAAACTGTTTAAAGAATGTACTGTTCTGTTTGTATGTAACACCACATTTTCCTTAAAAAATTAATTTATTGGTACATTTTAGCATGCACTTCAAACTTATCAGATTAGACTTTAAATTCCCTAGAGGATATTTGGACCCGATTTAAACATTTGTAACTATTTTGAGTGTTGCAATGCGCTATTTAACTTATCCAATAAATTATTGTTGATCAAAATAGATCAACTGACACTAATTCTAGCCACTTCCATTGAATCAACTTGAAAATTTGAATAAATCTTAATTAACGTAATATCATCAAACTTGACACTGGCACTGTGTGGAAGACCTGAAATTTTATGAAAGTGGGTAATTCATAAAAATATATGATAGAACTGCAGGATTTTGAATGGTTTTATAACTTTAATATATGAATGAACTGTATTTGTATTTGCTAGATTTCATTATTATGGTTAGGTTTCTTTGTTAAAAAGACTTTCAACCACAACTTGTATTTGTCAACCACAGTGCTTGATGTTTGGAAGATTTGAAATATTAGCCCTAGCGCTCAATGATCAGTTTTGCGAATTGGCCACATTTGCAGTTGATCCGGATTTAATGGAGAACATGTAGTGCCTTTCCGAAAAATGCCAATAGTTCGAATTTCTTTTTTTTTCCTTGATTTGTTTTCCGTCGATCTTGTTTTCCGTGCTGAGCACCAATGCTACTAACGCCAGGGAGGCAGCTCCCAAACCTGGACCCTACCTATCGACCCATCAACTCATGAACGGGAGACCAACGGCTTTACTTCCCTGCGGGCGCCGACTGGGATTGAACCCAGGTCTGCTGGGGTGAGAGGTAATCACGCTTACCACTACACCACCGGCGCCGCTATAGTTCGAACTTCATTAGGCCGTATGAGTGATTGGACCGATGTCGATGACTAGAACAAATTCCGAGCTATACAATAATTTACCAAGATTTCAAGACTTTGAACAGTTTTCGACCAGTTCAATTCTTTAAAATTTCAATATTTTACAAACATGGTCAAATGATTTTGATAAGAACTATGGATTTTTTTTAATAATTGAAAACCTTATTTAAAAAAAGCTCAAGAGAAGCTAGGTTAATCCTGAAAACGAATCGATGACTCATTTCTTGGACTAGACTCAATTGATCTGATCAGACAGAATAAAGCATATTAAAAGCCCAAAATATAAAAAAAGCACAAAAGCTCCCCGATTATAGCGAGCCATTCCGTCGGATTTCGTGAGATGTTTTACTACTAGAAAACAGGCTTGCTTCCACTCATTTGCTATAAAAAAATGATTTTCGATATTTTGAAATCATTAGATGTTAAAATGATATTTTGTACTTGTTAGATACAAGAAGAGGTTGAAAGGCAAGTGTTTGACAAATTCAACCTGTCAAATTCGCTTTCAGATAGTCACAATGAGCCATTTTACGACTCGCGAGCGCTCACTCTGAGTGAACGCTCACGAATCATAAAATCGCTGATTGTGACACTTTGAAAGCAAAATTGACAGGTTTCGTGTGTCAAACACATACTTTAAAACTTCTTCTTTTAGATTACAAGTACAACATATCCGTATAACTTCTGATGATTTCAAAATTCCGTAAATATTTTTTTTATAGCAAGTGAGTGGAAGCAACCCTGCTAGAAAAACTACTTAATTCTCTGAAGCCTGTAACACCACAAAAATTTCGAAAAAATCCGATCCAGGTCTGTACCCCGTCAAGCGGTAGCTTCTTGTTTCACTTCCGTCGAAATTCACTGCCCTCACGTACCTTCTGAACCGGGGGTCCATTCATGCAAGGATTGTCCGCCCCGAAAACGGCAACCTGTAGCAGCGCTACCGTAGCTATCACAACCGCGAACGCAAACTTCATGATGAAACCTAACTTGTTTGCACGACCGGGATGAACTGAGAAACAACAGCTTCCACGCGTGGTTTAATAATAAAAAAAAAAGTTGAACTGAGCCCTACCGCCGCGTGCGGATCTATATTTATTTGCATTTTCCCGCTAATCATCGCTTTGCATGTGTACGGTCGTCGGGTAATGAAAATGGGTTGATTGACGTTCTTGATGATACAAGTTGTAGCAGAGTTTATGAGATTATGTGTTTTCCCATTGGTTTAGATGGCATTCATCAAATTCGTACCTGATTTACTCTGCACGCTAAAATAGTTGGCTTTGAAAAAGTTGACTACTCATTCGGCGTCACAGTAGGCCCAGCTACGGAAAATTTCATGTGAAAAAATAAATATAATTTGCAGTAGGCTGCGGTTACGGTCAACCAGAGTCATAATTAAGTGACGGGATGTATTGTATGCTGATATCATTTTCAGAAATATGAACTCAAACGATGATTGCGATCGCTTTGTGGATAACGGCAAAAGGTAATTTAATTAGATTGTCTCCGGATAGTTGAACTTGAAATGAGGTAGCATCGCGTGACGAATTGCTGGTTTCAGTTTCAATTTGCAATCCCTAAACCATTTATTCTACATAGGTACATATGTGCTTATTGTGAGGTACAGCAGCGACTCTGTTGACTAAACATCTAATTCAAAGGGCACTTTTCGTGATACGCTTTCAACTGATCACAATCCGATCCAGTTTTAAATAGATCGGACGGGCATTTGGTGAACAGTTTCATGCTCATGCAACGAAGGATGCTCCCGGAAATGGGATGACAAATCTTTTCCCCTTTGTAACTAGGTTTCAATTTGGCACCTGCCTCGATTTCCGCCATGTTGTCGTCGGCCTGTTGGAAGCATTCCTCCAGCGTAGCGCTTACGATCGGTTGCCATTCTGGTTTGCCCTTTACCGGTGTTAAGAAAAGTTTCCGAGCCTTCTCGCGGTTGATTAACCCATTCGAGAGTAGTTTAGTAGCGTTCATTGCGCACTCAGCCACGCACTGGAATAGTTTTCAAAATTTGTAATTTACTAGCTGGGACTAAATTACGGACATTGGCTTACACATCCTCGTGGAATTCCGTCTATTTTCGATTGCCGTTTTGTTTGTTCGCCCCATTTCTGGAAGCAATTCATCATTATCGGCGGGTCAATCACAGAAGGCGTATCGCAACATTCCGAAGGGTTCTGGCGAAATTTAAAATCACTAGATTGATCACAGCATGCTTTGTATATCAGAGGTTTACCTTTTCAACAGGAGGTCCTTCGGAACACGGCTTTTTAGCGAAGCAAATCCTTCCACAGAAGCATAATGTTATGCAATAAATCAGCAATAGGTTCATTTAGTCTGTGTTGCACTTATTGATACGAAAAATAACATTGCAGATTTGATCAAAATCGACAGAGATTTTATAGGAATTGGTTAAACCTAAAGGGGAAATGATGGGAGGAGATGAGCAATCAGCTTGTCGGAAGCTGTCAAGATACATGATTTATCAATCAGCGGTCTATCAAACAAAACTAAGGGTGTTTTGAATACTTGAGAACATTATTTCGCTAGGGCGTCACGAGCAGGATACCTTAAATTGGTATGTCGGACAAAGATTTGTTATTTAGAATTGCATGCAATTTTCTGGTATTCTGCTTTGGTATTTTACCCTTTATGTCAGGCTGATCAACACTAAATTTTGGTGTTCAAAATTAGGTATTCATAAGTTATTTTCTCCCGCTCGGCCTAGTTTGACTAGTAATCAGGGGCTAGCCAAAAACCACGTAGACAGTTTTGCTTTATTGCGTATATGTACAACCATCCATCCATGTCTGCGTGATTTATGGACGACCCCTTTGCAAATCGATCGTTTCAATGTTTTCGTTCTGACAAAAAAAAAACTCGTTTAGTTCTCAATTGCAGATGCATTATTCATTTCTAGTACCTTTTCAATACCATGCATCCAAGAAGGCTGTTTTACCTTTCGTTGGTATCGGGAGTCCTGAGCGACGGACGGCGTGCATCTCGGAGAAGCAAAAAGTCGGCGCATGCGAACATGGTACCAAAACATTCCACTGGAAATGTAACTAGCACATGCTTTTCCCTCTTCCAAGAGTTAGTGAGTGAAGAAAGCCAAACTGTCACACACCGCTGATTGCATCCGAACAGTAGCCGCTCTGTTCTATCAGTAAATTTTGCAGTTTTCGCGGCGGTGCACAACTTTCCAATTTTTCCTGAGCCTTTTCTTTTCGCCTCCCAAGTTTGTCGCAGTGCACTTGGATTCGTTGCACACGGTCACTGCAATGGTTTCCATAGGGAATTAGTGCGTGCAAAATTCTCGCAGCTTGCTAATTGCGTCGAACAAGGAGGCAAATAAAACATGGCCAACCAAGTCAAGTGCAAAGCCAAGGTTCGGCAAAAGTAAAGCAGCAGAGAAAAAGTAGGTGGTAATGCGGAAAGCGAGCCTTTCCGAAACAGCTGATTTTTCTACACTCGCCGCGGAATCGACTCGTCCATCATCAGAGTAAAAAAGTTATACAAACTTCGGAAATCTTAATCATGTAATGTCGCTGGCAGTCGTAGCTGGTAGAAGGTTCCCCTTTTGTGGATTCTCCTGGATCATCGATTTTCGGTTCCGGAGGTGGTAGTGATTACTTAATTCCCTGGAAGGTGGTTTCATACGCTTTGCGGTAGGAAAAGGTGAAAAATCAATTTTTCATGTTAATTTTTCGCCCTGTTCTACGGAGGAAAGAGTGGAAATAGGGCCCGAAGAAATGTTGTGCACCGTGTTTGGAATCGTGCTAGGAGTGCTTGTGGCTCTGTATGCCCTGTTTGAGTTGCATTATTTTCTGAGGATGTGCATTTGTGTGATTGCGGCCCGGTACGTAAAGAAACGGATACATATTCTGGAGACGACCACTGTCACTGGTGAGTTCGAGGGTTTAGTGTTTTTAAAGGAGGACTATATCTGAACGGACCTTGACCTTGATGTTGCTTTAAAATGCGGTTATGTATATGTTTTAGTGTGGAAGAGGCGTCCGTTCGCACATTTTTTTTAGCATTGTAGTTTATGTCAATCGCTTTGTTGAGGGATTAGCAAATTGTCATATCAGTGCCAACATTTCGAAAGGGCGTAGTTGCATTTCTAAACAATGGCTTTAGCCGTCGATTTCTCGCTCACTCATGAAAATTAATTACACATTCCTCTACAACATTCCTCTACCAGCTACCAGCTAGCATTGTTAATTTGGAGGAGTGAGCTTTTATTTGCGAGAAATCAACGGCTAAAGCTATTGTTTACAAAAGCAATTACGCCCCTTTGAAATGTTGGCACTGATATATACATTTGACGGCTGTAGCCTACTATGATGACAACAATGCTTTTGAAGTCCGTTAACATTTTTAGAATGTGAGGAGTTTTCCGGTAATTGATTTAAACTTTTATTTTTTATTTTGTGCTCTTTGTGAATTTAATGTTGTCGGGTTTCTGGTTTTTGGGGAATTGTTTTTAATTAAAACTTTTGTTTTTTTGTTCATCACTGCTTGCCCGATGTTTAACTATCTTTAGTAACATCGTGAAGTTTTTGGGAAATGCAATAATCAGAAACTACCATTCGAACAATTAGCGTCGTTAACCGTTAATAAGTATGTTAGTGAATTTAACGCGTTAACGATCTGCAAATGACAGCGTCACTTTTTAACTTGGTGAGAGCGTTTCTATTTTTTTAATTGATGACATTATTCGTAAGAGACCGTGCACTTTGTACTTTGCAGCTCCGTCTTAGTAAAATCTTACGTTGAACATTAGCATGTTCTGTATTCTACATGATTACGCACAATATTTCTGAGATTTTCACCCTCCCTTCTAAGAAAACGTTAGAAAATGTCCCTTTAAAATCCTAACGTAATGGTAATGCATGGTCCCTAATCATGAAACGAATATCCGCTCCAAATAATTTTCTCATAAAACAAATTTCAAGATTTTTTAATTTTTTTCAAGTTTCTGAATTTTTACTCTTAGATTGTAGCAATCATCCAAATCCTAGAATTTAATTACTTGTTGTTGACTTAGGCCACGAAATCTTATCAAAGTTTCTGAAAATTTAAACTGTGCTGACACACTGAATCATAGCATAGCAATGCACAGCAAAAATAATTTTAATATCCCATCACAAAATTATCATTACTACAGTGCATGAACTGACATTACGCTGCTTTTATTGCATTTTTTTTATTTTTGTGGCCATTAAAATTACATGACATTTTCTATATGATTGAAGTGCATTCTCTTGGATGTAATATTAAAATTTATTTTTTGCTGTGTGCTTATGAACGGTATTGGCTTCAAAAGGCCATTCTGTTGAATTTTGGGCAAAGAAAAATAGGACGTTGGAATTATTTTAGAAATTTTGAACTTTCATTAATTAAGATCACGAACAGATTTCGGACTAAGATAAATCTTAATATGATAAAGATAAAGAATATGGTACTGGTACTTACTTTCACACATTCTTAAACACGATAAGCAAGATATTTTTTGAAATCAGAGACCTTGAAGACAATGATAATCCAAGGTTGGAGAAATTTCCATAACTCTGAAACGACAATAAAGACGTAGACGTAGGATTTTGCAAAAATTTTACGATCTCTGATTTAAAAATAAACATAATAGTTATTGACACATTATAGCGTTAGCGTTAGTGTTAGCGTTAGCGTTGTTATGATATACTTCGTAGATTGGATACTAACGACACTCACGTCTCTTCTGAAATTCTCAGTTAGACTACTTTCAGGAATAATGCTGGGGAGTAAACATTGGTTCCAATCTAAACAAGAGTAACAGAAGCATAACTGTCGCTATTCCCGGCCACGCCCATCTTTACCATAACTAGTTATAGGGAAGGAAATGTTGATGTAGTACTTACTTAATGAGAGGCCACCGACTTAGCGACACCCTCATAAGTGCTACGGAGTTGGAGGGTTGGGTAGGGTATTCGGTTAGGATTCATCTCAAGTTGGTGATGCAACCAAAAGTATTGTTTATTTGTTGTTTATTTAATCTCTCGATAGCCGGCTATCGAAAGAACATATTCATTTTGTTTAGTGATCATGAATTTTAAGAGTCATGACGGAGAGCTTGGGGTTACACCCATGATTTTCTGCTCAGTAAGCAAAAACGATCCCTCCAGGGTCATCGAGTATCTCAGAACCATAACGCTTCGCGACAATACAGGACTACGTTTTCGCTTGATATGCAAATAGTTTCCGAGGTTAATGTTCAATATCAAATATACAAATGATGGTGGCGATTTATTGTGCTGTGGAAGAGCTTGGGGTTAAATCCATTATTTTCTGCACAGTAAGCAAAATGGATCCCTCCAGGGTCATCGAGCATCTCATAATCCACAGCGCTTCGCGTTATAGTAAGAATACATGGATGAACTATCTATTATTGAATAACTATTATTTACGATACATGAAAGAAATAAAATATAAACTACAAACAAAACGTGACTACTAAAATCTCAAAAAGATATTCTTACAAATATATTTCACGCAACCAGGAATCTCAAAACCATTAGACGCTATAATGATACTCTGCACATGTTAGACAAAAGAAGAGGCCAAAAAGCAAGCGTCCGACACACAAAACCCGCAAAATCCACTTGCAGTCACAATCAACGATTCTACGAATCGCGAGCGCTCACGAATCATAAAACCGCCGACTGCGGCACTCTGAAATCGAAATTGACAGGCTCTATGGGTCAAACACCCGCCCTCCAATCTCCTTTCGCATCCAACAACACAAATCTCCATTACAACATCTAACGAATTCAAAACTCCGAAAATCTGCCTATCTTTCTATTGGACCTGTGGACATGCGTTAGCTCGACAAATTACAGCATGAACGTGGCTCTTTGAAAAGATGTCCAAGACAAAATAGTAGAAAACTGATAGATGGTATCGAAACAAGTAAACAAATAAACTGGAACGAACTCACCAAATGAACGATGGTTTGCACGTGAAGCCAATACTTGAAAGACTGTTGCATCTCTTAATTCTAGCTAAACATTTCATAACATTCCTTCGGATCTTCAGATAAGCTCTTGCATCTGCTTCTAATCAGAATCATCGATTATGATAAACGAAAACACTTTGGAATGCATTTCCAACTGATCACTTTCACTTTCTTGCACTAAAATTAGAAAACGCCAAGAAAAAATAAAACCGTAAATTTGACACTCGGAAATTTTTCGCGTCCGTACAGAAGCAGAGCACACTTCGATCTCTCAATAATTATTGACACATTATAAAGGCATTAAGACTTGAAGAAAGAACATTCATTCGTGGCTTAATGAAATGGATTCCAATGAGAATTTCTAAAGAATTTTTAGACGCTCAGAAAGGGAATTCTAGGGATAAATCTAAATTAATTCTGATCAGTGCTCAAAGGCAGGTATAAGGAGATCTTCTTGAAAAAGAAAAATAAAGATTGCCAGCAAACATTGTAGTTAATATCTAAGGAGAATTCTAAGAGACCTTCAAAATAATTAGGGAGTTCTGACAAAAATCCCTACATAATCTTGAAGAGAATTCTAGGGCCAAAATTCCACAGGAGTTTGAAGCAATATGCACTTAGGAAATGCTAAGGAAAATTGAGTGGAGGAGGGTGGTCGGTATTACCCATTTTTTGTGAAAACCGGTATTTCGGTATTGGCGAAGTCAATACCGGTAAAATACCGGTATAGGTAATTTTTTCGGAGTTAATAAAAATTTGATTCTCTAGTAAAAAACGCATTTATTATTCAAATTTAAACTTAGCAATTACTGCTGCTTATCAAAGTAAAACTTCAACAGGCATAGCATACTAAGCGATTCGTCTCCCCACAACGGATTTTATTTGGAATATTTCCGGCAACCGAAAACGCTCTCTCTGCTTCAACTGATGTTGGACGAATGGTTCCAAGCGCGCCAAACAGCTTAGTCAGGTGTATTCCTTTCAATCTTTCGGATTCATATTGTGAAAATTCATTTTTAATAGCCTTCAAAGATCCTGGAGTCGATGTTGAGTTAATTGTCGGTGGAACGAGTGCTTTGCTGGAGCCTCTTTTCGAGTTGCTCCTTCACCGTTAAACCAGAGCACTCTTCCACGGCGTCATCCTTTTCATAATCATGCAAAGGTAGATCCCCTTCTGCATTATCCATCCCGCCATTTGTAGTCAGTCGCTTCAAGATTTCATCAGCTTGCCTTATCAAGTTGGTTTTGTAAAATATTCCGAAATGATTACTCACTGATCCTTTCACGGCGGGGTTGTTTAAACAAGCGTAAAGATCAGCGTATTCTGAACGTCTTTCCTGGATCCGTTCCTTAAGAGCGTCGAATAGTTTGATGGCGATATCCGAGCTTTGGGAGTACAATTGCTCCAACATGAATTGAAGCGCCAGTGAACAATACTTACGACAAAGATGCTCTACAGCGTCTTGAACAGGTTCTAGAGCTTGAACAATTTCGCTTACCATTTCAAACTCTTCATCGTTGAAGTTGTATTTTGCGTGGCCCTTCAAATCAATAAGAGCTTTTTGAATGGGCCGCTTCAAATCATTAAATCTCTTGAGCATTGTAAGCAAACTGTCCCAACGGGTTTTACAGTCTGCTACCAAGGTTAGTTCTTTTCCGAATTCGGAACGAACATATTTTTGAAGCAAATCATTTTTCACAGGCGACCTTCGGAAAATCTTACAAACAGTGCGAACCTTCTTGATAATTGCAGATAATAACGGCTTGAAGATAGGTGGCACGCACTCTCCTTTCTCAGTTTCGAGCCAATCAACTTCCGAATCGTCACCATCTGAGTCATCATCTGAGCCTGAAAATAAATTCAGGTTAATAAAATAATATTAAAACAAGATAACTGATAGTTACCGTC